CCTCTCCCTCTCTCCCTCTCCCTCTCACTCTCCCTCTCCCTCTCCCTCTCCCTCTCCCCCCTCCACCTCACCCCCTCTCTCCAGAAGTCTACACTCACTCCGAACGCTCATTCAAGAAACTTGCATATTACATTATGAAAATCACGCATTAAACTTGTTGCTCAATTAACAATTACAGTATATAAACATGGAACGATTATGCCAGATATGATAACTGTCTTTTATAATCTCAAAATTGTTGTACAACCAGAAGCCTTATAAAAGAAAAAAGTGGGTGTATATTTTAGTTTTGTCTAGCACAGATTAGAATCTGAAGAATAATGTGCAAAGTCGAAACTGTCGTGATAGTGGCGCTTAAATTGATTCTTTTGAATGACTAGCACAGTCCTCGTTTGAGGATGAAAACCATAAGAAAAGAAAGGTTTCTTTTCTGATCTAATTTTTGCAAGAAGACATTTGTTCATCCAAAATCGAATTTACTCATATTCTTTATTGAAGGAATATGGAAATGTCTATAAAGTGAAAACATTTTTTATTTATTATTTAATTTGTATAGGTTTTTTTTTAACCCGCACAAATGAGATTCGCGTAATAGTATATCCTTAAATTGTGTTTGCATACGTACACTTAAAGGAGAAAGGAAATAAAAAGAAAAGCTATAACCAAGTACACAAAAATATATAGTAAATTTATTTCAGAATAAATGCAGATGTTTGCATATCCTAAAATAGAGTTTGCATAGAGGTCGCATACATTTAGCATGAATAAATGTAGGTTGTTGACGTCAATTTTACGCTTAGTATTTTTCTTACTTGATCTTAGTCTTTAGTCTTTAGTCTCGTTTTGATATAAACGGAGCAGTCAAATAATATGTGAAGCAGGAATTCTTCTTGATGCCTAAAACATACATTACTATTTTGGAATAACGGTGGTAAAACTTTCCTTCCTCATTATACTATGGATCCTTGGCAAATTTCTATGCGTTATAAGATTAGTTTCATTTATCATTCGAGTAAAATATAAACGAAAATCGTTAATAACAGGATTTTTACAGAGATAATGTAATTCTTGTTTTTTTTTTTTTTTTTTTAAAAAAAATTCTTCTTGATGCCTAAAACATACATTACTATTTTGGAATAACGGTGGTAAAACTTTCCTTCCTCATTATACTATGGATCCTTGGCAAATTTCTATGCGTTATAAGATTAGTTTCATTTATCATTCGAGTAAAATATAAACGAAAATCGTTAATAACAGGATTTTTACAGAGATAATGTAATTCTTGTTTTTTTTTTTTTTTTTTACAAAAAACCAAGGATCATTTTTAGATTTTCTTTGTTTGTCCCAGCAATAAAAAAAATGTGTACAATTATTTAAGTTTTATATAGAGAACGCCAACAGCCACCGCGCGTTGCGCCTCGTAAAAATTGTTTTCGTTAGCTGACATAATTTCTTTTCTTTCGATTGTTTGAAACAATAAACACAAAGAAGATTTTATGAGTTCTTATGGTTTACTCAGAGTTCACTCGGATTAATGTTTTCCTTTTTAAATTATTAAGCTAGTACTACGGTAAACTCAAAACCGCGTAATCGAGCTGAAATTTGTTTTACGTCTAATTTGTATAGCAGTACATCTCTCTACAAATTTTTAACACGATTCACTCATCAGTTTCCGAGTATTTCCGAGTTAATGTCAGGACTCGTAACACGTATTCCCTATACCTGGCCAATAAAACGCGCATGGTTTTTTTTATTGCATTTGACTCGTCCGCGTAATTCCGATGAAAAACTAGTATGTGGCAAAGGAAAAAATTAGGAATTTTTTAGATTTTTAGTCAGAACTTTTTACTCATAGGATTTATTGATAGACATGAAAGAAGTTCGATATTTATTACGAAATCTCTCGTACGACGGCTAGATAAAAGAGCGTTACGGCAACATTGCGTTTGAGACTGTATTCGGTGTATATACGTATACACTACTCCATCCAATGTACATTAGAGCGTGCCTATCGATGCAGGGATGGGCGTGTGTGAGTGAACTGTACCAGTTCAAAAGTTGACGCTGGATTGTTCAAATCTTACATTGAAAATTTTGTTATTTTTCGGTCCGTAGTAATACCTTAACCAGGCATCGTATGAACCAAAGTAGATATTAAAGAATTTTACTGTTCAGTAATTGATGACAGTGATGGTAAAAATTACTTTTTGTAAAGTTGCCATCATCTAAACATTGCAAAAAAAGAAATTACTTTTTGTACTAACAAAAATACAAAAAGAATTATTAGTTATGTATGTTAAGTAAGAATGATATTTTGGGAATTATTGAGGATACTGATTCCAAATTGGGGGCCGTTGTTGCCAAATTTAAAATGGCGGATTCAAAATGACAGACTACTATAGTAAATCCCAAAGTGTAACATTTATGTGCATAAAACTCAGTTTAAAGGTTTTTTGGGATGCTAATTTAAAATTTGTGGTCCCTGTTGCAAAATGCAATACATACGGCGGATCCAAAGTGCCAATGAGTAAAATAATTAACTCTTACTCGGTAATGGTATTTTTGGTACCCTCAGACCGTAAATCTGAATAATTTTTGTGCGGGGCGTTTTTCACTAACTTAATAATTACAACATTTAAAAAAAATCTATATACTGTCTTTGAACCTTTTACTATAATGCTATAATTGCTACAATGCTAATGCTATGATACCTGAATTTTTGGCTTGGGGCCTGTGTTGGGTCTTGTAAGACCTAAGTCCATTTTGGTAAATGAGAACCCCTATTTTTTATTGCAGATTTGTGCTGTATGAAAAAAAATAAGTAAGTTTTGTGCTTGATCATTTTTCGAAAAACCTCTGCAAAAGACGCAAAAGACCCTCGAAGTTGAATTTTGAAATACGTTACAAATAACGCTTTTTTGTTAGTAATATGGACTGGCAATTTAATAATCTGACTAAATTGAAGCTATAGAGTGTTAATCCTGCCAATTAAGACAAAATCAATGAACGACCCAGCCAATACACAGTGGGATAGAAGCTAAAAAAACTGGCCAAAAGTCAAGATTTCGTCAGATTTGTATGAAACTTGTTATAAGACGGTTGTTGAAGTCTTTGATTTCGAACTTATAGTAAAAAATTCAAAACTCAGATTGGCGAATTCAATACGGTGTCCAAAACTTCAATACTTTACATAATTTATATAAAATCTAGTATTATAATGGGATTGTTGAGTTTGCTGGTTTCGAACTTGATGTCAGAAATTACAATGTCAGGTTGCTTGTTTTTTGTGAGTCTCCTTCCCTCTCACAATTCTGGAGTGCTTGTTTTTCCACTTTTTCTCCCTAATTGCACAATTAACAAATAACTTTGTACGATAAGAGATCGGTGGAAAACAAGAAAGAAATGTCTACGACACGTATAATCCACGTGTGATTGATATCAACATGCGCCAGGATTCTCATTTTTTAAAAATGATTTTAATATGAATTTAAAATGTTTGAAAATTATATTTGGGTCTGATTGAGCCCAAAACAGTCGCGCGGCACAACATTAATTCAGATTATCAAATCGCCAGTCCATATTACTATTATCACTAATAAAAAAACCGGAATTTGTAACGTATTTCAAAATTCAACTAAAGTCTGTGTGGCCACTCACCCATACAAATATCCTGTTTTATTCTCTCTTAAAGACATACAATAGTTCGAGTCAACTGATAACTACACCCAAATACTTCGGTTACTTTTTAACAGTAATCACTGTTAAAGTTTAATAGTAACTGCACCGCATAATAATTATCTGAATACTATTTATAATATGCTAATAGTAGTTACTATTGTCAATAAAAATGTCCCGACTCGTTATTGTTGCACACCAATTAATAATTATACTTATTATTGAACTTCAATAGTAACTATTCCGAAAGAGAATCTTCCTAATAGTTACTATTGTTTTCTAACAGTATGTACTATTGATAATGAATATTTAATATTCAATTTTAATAATAACTATTACGAGTTCAATAGGTTTTCTTTTTGTTGTAAGGGTGGCGACATGTTCTGCAAGAATAATTATCTTTTCAACACCACTTTTGCAATAATTAATCCAAAACTGAA